TGACAATACGTCGTGAAATGTTTTCATCACTTTAATTATCAAATTAATTCTAAACTCCTTTTATGATTCCCATCTTCTACTATGTTATATTATTTTTCATTAGCTACGCATGGGTTCAAACCGCGCTCAAATCGGAGCACCGTAGCCAAAGTTATGCATTTTCTAAGAAAAGGGTGCGAAACCTCCAGAACCCCCGCGCCCGCAGCGTGAGATCCACGCTCAGAGCGTTGGAAAACAGAAAGTTGGCACCCCAAGCGTGGATCTGGCGCCCCAAGCGTGGATGCTACTGTCTGATCTCATAATTTGGCGCCCCAAGCGTGAATTTGGCGCCCCAGGCGCCATCCACAGGGCTGGGTGACCCAAAACAAGGTCATTTAACCTACCTATGGTTTTTCACTCATAATTTAGCTATACTCTCTCAAATTACACCATTTTAGTCTCTATGGAAAGCTAAGAGGAATGTCTACCACTTCCATAGAGACATCAAAGTCCAATTCCATCACATTGGGTGTGAAAATTGGTCAAACGGACATGATGTATTTGTTTTCTCAACATTTCCCGATTTAGCACTAGGTACCTAATTTATTCTCAGCCCAACCAATTCAATAACTCAATACATAACAAGCATGCATATATTGAATTTCAAGTAGGCATCATTTACATTACATAGCCATTACAAATCATGGAACTTAGCTTACAAAACACTATGATCATTTCCTTGGCTCCCATTAACAAAAGAGATGACCAAAGGCATGAGCATAGGCTAAGTCCATTCCAATATACAAATTATAAATCTAGCATTGCCTATTCATTTAATTCTATACATGTGAGCTACAAAACAACATGTACAATCTCAAAAGAAATGCCACATTTCATGCATAATCCAGATATGGCCACTTTCCACTAGAGGCTCCTGCAGCATCCTTACCTGAAAGGGGGTCCCCACAACACGGGGTGAGATATACGAATATATCCAGTAAACCAGGGGTCCTTGGAGCATCTCTCCACCCACAGTTCCATATCAGTGTAATAGCAATAACAATAATAATGCAGTAAATACATATCTATGCAAAGTGCAATACATCTCCAGGAGAAATCCCTCGAGCTCTCAAGCCGTCCTAAGCAAAACTCAGATGCAAATAGTCCTACTGGCCAGCTAACTACCAAGTATGATTTACGCATCGTCATGCAACATACCAACATAGGGAAACACCATCCTATGCCACACCAAATGCATACACATACGTATAACAAAGCATTACACTATTTTATTGCATTTATATACACAATCACAACCTCTACCCTTTCAGGGCTTGGTAGAACAGTCAAGGGAATTACACCCAAGGTCCGAAGGCTTACCTCAATGCTTCAGTCGACCTTTGTTCTTCACCAACAGTTTCAGCGATCAACTTTTACAAATATACACCTATACAAGGGTAATGAAATTAACATATTGCATTCAAGGATAACTCATCATCATCAATCCAAACTATCCTATTCATACCACAACACAAGGATGAACTTACCTATTTCAAGGACTAATCCATCTCCATTGCTTGCTCCAAAGGTTGGTCAATTAATGTTGATCCAATTGCCTCAATCCTAGACAACACAAGGATACAATCAATGACCAACCAAACAATGGTTCAACAATGCAAGAAAACTCATAACCAAGTGTCATATTCTTGCAATCTTCCAAATATAAGCATTTAGCTCTCTAAGCTCATTATCACCGATTAAATGTCGTTCCTAGCATTTTTCACAACATGCTCAAGCTCCATTCTTCCTAGAACATAGCTAATTTAACAACATTTCATCAAAATCCCTAAAACACTATTCATAAACCCTAACTCATGCAAATTTCAAGGAATCATGAGGTTCAAGGGTTAGAATCTTACCACCAATGGTCACTCAACCAAGGATTGATGGCTCCTCAAGCTTCAATGGAGGTATAAACTCTCAAAACCCCAATTTTCACCAAAGGGCCGAATTTTTGAGAGCCAATATCTCACCACACAAAGCTCCCCACTTAAAACTAAGCTTGGATTATGAAAGAGGGCGAGATTCTAAGCGATTTAGGCTTTTGAATCACCCAAAACCGTTGGGATTTGCTCCCTCCTCCTCTCTCTTCTTCTCTCTCCCTTTCTCCTCCTTCTCTTTCTTCTTCCTTTCTTCTCTGTTTCTGTCGACGGGAAAGTGGGGGGTTTGGGGCTCATTTTGGCTTTTAGTCACTTAACATAGGTTAAGTGGCTTTAAGCGGGTATTGGTTCGTCTATCTATTCAACTCCAATAATTACCAAACTTTACCCAAAAGTCGGGAATATTATTCTAGGAATATTACTATTTTTATTTTTAATTTTTGGTACTTTTGCCAGTACCCATTTATACCCCTTAATTTTCACTGAGTACACTTTTAACTCCAAAGTGACTCAGATTCTTTTAGTTAAGCATTATACTTAATTTTACCCAGTAAAACCTGCTTAATTAATTAATTACACTAGATTTACTAATTAATTAAGATGGGCTATTATAATGCATGAACCTGGATATTACTCCAATAGAATAAGAGATGTCAGGCGTAGTGTGAGTTAAATAAATAAGGTTACTGCCAAGCTTCTGTATTGTTTGTACGTTAGCTTCTTCAGTACCATCATTCATCGGCAATTTCTCATTTGTATTCATTGACGTTGAAGCGTGCTACCGGGCGAAAAATGTGTTCGAAGAGCGCGCTGCCAGTTTTCAGCACAAATATAGTTTAGTAAAATTGGCATAACTCGAGCTACAGAGCTCCAAATTGAGTGATGTTTGAACCAATGTGAAGCTAACAAATAGGGCTATAACATGTAAAATATAGAGCCATTGGATGAGTATATCAATTCCAGGTTAGGATTGAAGTTGATGCTACAATTCCGAAAGTTCGATTTCGTCAGCTACATTGCGAGTTTAATAACTCCGGCTATACTTAGCCAAATGATTATTGTAATATTTTTCGAGAAAGCCCTCGACGTCTAGTTTGTCCTAATGAAAAGGTTAAAGTTAATGGTTAAGTGTAGTGGTCTCAATTTAGATAATGTTACATGGTTACAATTAGGATTATGGTTATATTAAATACGGTTTTGTTTTAAAAAGTAAATGAACAATGTTTTGTGAAAAATTTATCCATATTCTTAATTGAACCAATGTGATTGTAACTGCGCTTAATATCATAAAGCAATGATAACAAACTGGTTTTAGAACGGGGTGTTACAGAATCCAAGCAAAAAAAGAATTAGAACAAGTTCAAATTACGAAATCTAACAATTCCCTGAGGCATCAGACCCTAAAAAACTAGTGATTTATGTAGGAGGGCTTTGATAAACATCGAGGCCCCATTTTGGTGCTAGCATCATTTGTAAGCCAGTCAGCGTACTCAATCCCTTTGTGATGGACATGATTGTAGCAATGGTTAATCTTTAGTGATCACATGACTACTTCATGGGCATCAAAGCTTTTCCTACCAAGTTTTAATAGTGTTGTTTCCATGAACTCGAAGTCAAGACACTGGTTAAGTTGAAATAGTCCCTTACCATTTGATCCACGTGCTTTGACAATCCTCCTATGATAAAGTTTCCTTATGTCAAGAGACCATCTAACCACTAGTATTGGGCAAGTGATTTCTTGTAAAGGAGGTTTAACGAACACTTCGAGAGGAAGGGGATTAATAGGTGTTCCAACTATTTTTCAAAACTTTGGGGAGAGAATCTTAAAGTTGGAACAACAATTCAGGTTCATGTATGATGTTATTATGCTTCCAAGTCCTGTGTCTTCAATTTGAGATAGTCTTCAAACTCTGACAATAATCAAAATATTGTACACACTTAATTCATAAGAGGTCCTTCATATAGTAGGAGTATACATGCATCCATTGGCCATGATCATTCCTGATGAGTCCTCCATATCTTGTGTCAGCTTGGTGCTCCCCTTTACATTGCCATCAAAGTTCAGTTTTGACCACTCATCCTCTGAAGTGTTATGTATAGTCGACGTCCCCATCTCAGGATTCCATGCAGCTCAGATTTCCAGCGTTAAATTAGCGATAATACTAAGATCCATAAACTTTTTATTTGTTCACTTTTGAAGCAATCTCAGTTTAAAGGAACCTTTTCTATATTTCTAATCTCAACCTCTATAAACTTAGTTTCAGAGATAAATACATTTTTTGTTTCAAGAAAGTTATCCTCATCTACCTAAAATGGTAAAACCTTGTCATTATCTGATTTGTCATAACTTTTTCTCATTGTTGCTTTTTCCTTGAGCTTATTAAGGATTTGTTATTGCTGCAATTATGAACAGTGTTTAACTCAGAAAAGAGAAGTGAGTGAAACTTGAATATATATTCCTTGACCAAATGAAAGCAACCAAGTGTATGCGTGAATGCAACCATTCTGAGTCTTATTTTAGGATTCTAACTACGCAAAATCTTTGTGGTTTCATCATGGACCACTTCCTTCTATTCTGAACTTTTTGATACCCTTGGATAAGGGAAGAAGAGTGGAGATTACAATGATTAAGGAATGAGTATGGTTATTTTTCATGTGTGTGTGTACCATCTACTTCTTCCACCCCTTGAATTGGCATAAGGTCGAGAATAGAGACGAACTAGACCGAGTAAATGTTCTCCTTTAGAGTTCATTTTTTATCAAAAGCAAATAGGACCAAGGTTATTAGATATTAAGTATAAGGGTAGTTTAGCATTTCAATGATATTCTAACAAAGGAGCCTAATTTTTGACAAACTAATTACTCTTATTAATGGAATCAATATTTTCCATTTTCTCTCTTATACCTTTTAATAAAGGTTTTGTGCTTATATGACGGATTGTATGTCACTAGATTCTTATATTCGGTAGTATGTCTCTAAATCTTTACAACCCTCACCCAATGCATTAAAAATGATTCAATAAGAAATATATAATGGCATTCAGAAAGAAATATAGCAGAACAAAAGTTCACTTTGAACTGTTATTCTTATTTACATAAAAGTGGGATCTTGCAAGACAAATACAGAGTGTCTCACTATGCACATAAACTTACCTATGTACATGAACTAAGAAAAGCATCTGAACGAAAGGAAAGAGTGTAAAATTGCCTAGCCGCCATCTAAGGAGGTATACTCTGCATATAGAAGGCTTGCTTCTCCTTAAAGCTAATGCAGGAAGAACCATCTTCATAATTTTTTTTGTTGGCCAACAAGAAGAACTAACTTTTACGTAAAAAAGGCTAGTGAACCTATGCGTCTTTACACTTTATAACTTCCTCAAGAACAGAGGAACACTGCCATGTCAGTCTGCTAATCTGCTGCATCCAAGAAACAATTACAAAATTTATAAGCTACAGGATTATGAGGTCTCATGAAAGTTAATTGACCTAGACAATGCTGCTGGATTGGCCTGCAAGACTGGTGAGTTTTGCATTATGTGATTTTTTTCATCACCCTTTGATGGAAATGCTTTAAAGAGTTCTCCCCCATGAATTGAGTCTGCCTTATTATTTGTGATTCCGAGAGTTGTCCATATAGAGCTTTTTGCTGCTTCTCCTAGGTCATCAATCCTCAATGTTTTCGGAACCCAAAGGCACTTTTCTTTACTATTTCCTTTGCTATGTTCACCCCTCCCTACTGTGTCATTTGATTTGAGCATATTTTCTTCCCTTGAATGTTTTCCCAAGGTAGGGGAGTTAGGACCGGAGTTAGGACCAGAGTTAGGGATTATACTATTTGGTGATGAAGGTTGTGCTAGCCATGGGATGTTCCATGCACCCGGCACAGTAAAACCCCAACAAGCTGCTGCAGGATAGAGTGGCATGGTAAATCCTTGAGGGAGAAAAGCAGGTGGTGGTACTGGAGAGCTCCAATGTGCTGGATTCCATGGGAAAGGCCAAGGGGCACCCGGAAAGTAGGGAACTTGAGGTGGGAAGCTTTGACAATTCGGTATAACTTGTTCTTGGGACCCATTGATGGTTGCACCTTCTATTGACTTTGTTGATGTGACAGAAGATTTATTGGAATGATCATTTCCTTTTTCTCCGCCATCACAGGGAACAGGAATTCTTAGTTCTTCTAGTCTATTAAGTTCATTCCTTGTGCAATCGTTCGCTGCTTTATCAGCGAGGTTCAAAACAGATGTCATTGATTCACACAACGGTGCATCAGATCCAAATGCAAGCACTGTGGTATTACAATTCAAGGAATGATGATGGACTCCATTTGGCAAGTCTGACTGAGAATTCTGGATTGCTGCTTCAGGGACAGTTATCTGATGATAGTGAGGAGCAGAGTTCTTATTCTTCCTGCGACCAGCACCAACAGGCACATTCCTCATTGCCCCACCAGCAGTCCAATATCTCTGACAATTCTTACAAAAATGACGTGGTTGGTTGACATTGTAATTATTGTAATAGCAGAACTTGGTGTCCATGCTATTACAGCGGGGGCAAGGCAGTATTTTGTCTGGTTTTTTCAGGGTCTTATCTTGTGAATTCTCACCATGTTCTTCTTCAGACTTTGAAGTTTTCAAAGTAATAGCTTCCTCCTTAGTGGAGGGGTTGATACATTCTTCCCCTGATCTTGAGGCTGTATCAATATTGGTGACCTCTTCAGACAATTGGATGGGGGATCCGTCTTCCTTCTTACTCTCAGCTGGTTCCTCTCCCATTGTGTCCTGAATTCATAAAAATTCATGCTGATTATGTTTCTCTAAACTAAAAAAATTGATATAAGCAATGTATTTATATTATGAAAAGGATGGCTCAAACAAAAATTCACTGTGTTGAATTTCTGCCTTCAACAATTACAAATATGTGCGAAGTCAAACAAAATAACTATAGAAGTAATACTTATGCCACAGGTTCTCTAATTGAAAATAAACTTTGAGGCATATAAAATTAAATAAGAAAGTTGAGAACGCCGCAAGGAAAGCCACTTCATTAGAAGAAAACAAATTCAGTACCACAGCATATAACTAAAAATAAAATAAAAATTCATCACTTATTTAACATCCACATTGCACTGCCAAGTGCCAACTGTCAAAATCCCAAATTTGATATGTTTCATCTGCAAACTTATTTATCCAATATTTCCTCAGAGGTTGAAAATTTTACCATCCAACTCTAGTACACAGGCAAGCTAAAACTCAGGAAAACGAGCATAAATGAAAGGCAATCAAAGAGAAATCTTGAGCAGAAAAATTGAATAGTATTGAATTTCTTGATGAACCATGAGTTGCATAGCTGTAGCTCATAAAACTTCTCTTACAAGATAGAACATCAATTATAAATCCAAAAGAAGGCAAGGCTAACTGTGGTTGTAGAAAAAGTTCAAGGAACAACCAAGGTTGAAAGTAAAGCAAATTGAGCTCAAAACTGTAAGATGAAAATTCTATGTTGTTATCTTTCCAGACTTTAAATAACTAATATAAAACTCAGAAGTCAAATAGAAAAAGCATTTTTCACAAGCATACTACCACAACCCAAGAAAATGAGCCAGAAGAATCTTGAACAATGAACAATTTGTCATTTGTTTTCGGGAAGAATAGAGAAAATTAGAAAAGAAAGGAAAAATTAGATTCATGTTTATAGTTGTCAATGTTAAACACACTAACAACGTTTTGAAAGCTGAACTGCAAGCATACAAAGAGATTTCAACAAAAGGAGCTAGTGTCCAAGAAACCAGCAAGTATAGAAACTACATAGACAAGCATGCTCAGAAACTAATTCCTCAAATAATGCTAAATCCATTCTCCAAATTCAGAACCTGACAGACTTACAAAGTAGCTGAAGAACTATTCCAAATGCTTATGCAATTAGATTGGTACAAATGTTTTAAATTAAGCCATCAGAAACTCCAGCAGCAGCAACTCAAAGATAGCATGAAAACACTTGAACAACTGAATAATAATTGTAAATTTGAAATAAACTCATCAATTAAAACCCCAGATTGAACAAAATCCCAACTGAACATTGAACCCCTTCAGATAAAAATAAAAATAACACAAGGTACCACAGCAAGTCAACACAGAATTTCCAATGCCTATAAACGACGAAACTAACATCGACCCATTAAATCATTTCACATTTCCAATAATGGGTCACTCTCAAAAACAATAATTTTGAATACCTGGTCAATCTCATGCTCTTCACCTTCCTTGGCATTGAAAGAGTTGCTGGAAGAAGCATGATCCTGATCAACACCATCATCAACAACATCACCAGAAGATGAAGCTGGAGCTCCGGTGGAGTCTTTGGATCCGTCCGGGATCTCCGGCACCGGTATCGTCTTCCCAAAGAGCTTGATCGCCGGGTCTTTCGCTTCAGTCATTTCTGTTTCTATGTCTGTGCCTTTTTTTTATTTTTTTTTATAAGAAGGATAAAACTTAAAAAGTCTTTTTTTAGATAGGATATTATCATTGGGTTTGATTAATCTCGTGTTAGTCATAGAGATAGATTTGTGGGCTCTACCATCTAAAAAATCAAAAGAAAAGAAAAAAAGTGGCACACTTATCGAAGGATGTACAGGAGAGAAAGTTATCACATGTAGCACAAGGGTAGTTTTTCTCATTATTATTATTGATAATATTATTATTAATGTCACTACCAGTTTATTTTAGCGTTAGATCGATTATATTTATGGGAAAAGTGTTTGTCATTTTAAATGACACAACTTTGTGTCATTTTTAATGAAACTACGTTGTTTTGGTGTGTTTTATCATTATTTTTAATTTATAAAATTAGAAATAAAAAGAAAATGGAGGAGAGAGAATGTAAAAACTTATCAAAACGACGTAACTCTGTGTCATTTAAAATGGCAAACATTTTTCCCTTTTATTTATCCAATAGTTATATTTATTTTCACCTCTGTGTGATTATGATTCTCCATATTTATTGTTTTAACAATAAATATAAAAAATCATAACTATATAAAAATGAATATAAAGTATTAAATATAGGAAGAATACAGAAGGTTTTTAGAAGATTAAATTAGAATCATTGAATCAACGTAATCGATCTAACAGTAAAATAACCTGCAGTAACATTAATAGTCACGTTACTTGCTAATAATAATATCTATCTTTTATTATTATTATTTTCTTCCTGAAAAGCTCTAGATAGAGAAAGAGGAGAGAGAAAAGGAGCGACACATTGTTGCGGGCAAAAAAATTAAAATAATGTATTTAAATTAAATAATTACGCAATTAATGCTGTTTCGTAAAAAATTACACATCTACTGCACAATGTGACGCCAGTTTTGGGCGTCACATGTGTGCTCTATATATTTCCTCACCCCCTCCATTCAATTCACACCTCTTCTCTCACTCTTCATATCTCTCTTCTCCACCAACATTCCTTTATCTTTAATTTAGTATTTGAATTTTAGTTGTAATTCTATTTAAAAATGAGCTTAAATCCTGATTCTGTTCGTGTTGTGTTATATTACAATGGTAGGAAGGTAGAAGGTCGACGAGGTGTCATATTCGAAGGTGAAAAAAGGCCGACACGTATCCAACGCAACACAACCATTGGCGAACTGCATCAGAGAATTCGGCAGAAGTTAGGTCTTCAAGACAACCAATGTATCACTGAGATCACGTCAAGGGTGTGGCAAGGTGATAAATACATTAGTTTGAAAGTGCTTGACGATGAAGACTTGGAGATGACAATGGAAGAATTTTGCAACCAGTCAAGGACAGATTTTCTAGAGTTGTATGTCGACATCGTCGCAACGGAGAATGCTCACATACCGGTGAGGTCAGTTTATTTAAATTCTCCCCGTCTTCCAGCTTCTCCTGCCGCTCATGCGTCTCCAGTTGGTAACTTTTCTGAGGGAGATGAAAATGATCCGACTTGGGAAATGCACGACGAAGATGACGATGAAAATATGGCAATTGAAGAACATCTTCTGGCGGAGGATGCTAGTGCTTCAGAAGGAGATGAGTCTCGTGAGATGGGTGCGTCTGAAATTCCAATATTCCATCAACCAGTCGTCGCGCAAATGCCGCAGTTGAATGACGTTGCGTCTGCTCCGTTAGGTATTCCACAAGGTAATTGTTCCCATTTGTATACTGCGTGAATAAATAACTGATTTAATACCTGAATTAGTAAGTTCGTATTAAAAAATTATAATCCGCAATTGCAGGTGACACAGATGTTATTCCTTTTTGGGAAGGAATTCCGCATTATTCTTACATTGATTGGAGTTATCAGAGCGAACAAGAATCATGTACTGATGGTTTGGTGTCTGGATCGGCTTCAATACAAGGTCCGTGGCAACTGGGTGACATGTTATTTGTCAATCAAGAATTTGCGACAAAAAAAGATGTCCAAATGGCACTTAAGCACAACCTTATTAGGGAGCATCAAGAAGCCATTGTAATTGAGAGCACGCTTGCAAAGTTGTCCATGAAATGTTGTGCGTACGATCAAGGTTGTCCGTGGCGCGTAAGGGCGATCAAACCGGTGTTTCGTGAAAATTGGAAAATAACGAGATGGGGTGGAAAACACGAATGTGTGAATGAGCACATTTCCCAGGGTCATAGACAGCTCGATGCGGACGTTATTGCAAATCTCGTGATAGGTACCTTTTTGTATTTTAGATGTGTGAATGAACACGAATGTGTAATTAAATTCGTTCGATGTTATCGAGGCACTGATATCCTCTTCAATGCAGGGATGATAAAGTCTGAACCATCTGTGTCAATCTCTTTGGTGCAAGAAAGGATAACTGCTAAATATGACTTTCAAGTTTTCTACAGAAAGGCGTGGTATGTGAAGCAGAAAACGATGGCAATTATATACGGTGATTGGGAGGAATCATATGCTTTTTTACCAAGGTGGTGCGAATACATGCTTCGCTTTTCTCCAGGTTCATTTTATCATATACAAACTAATGATCTTTATGCCGAGCAGAGCTTAGTTTTTGGAAAAAAGGTTTTTCATCGCATTTTTTGGACGTTTAGACAGTGTTGTGAGGCGTTCAAATTTGCCAAATCCGGCATCCAAATTGATGGAACTCATTTATATGGAAAGTACAAAGGGAAATTGTTGGTGGCCACAGCCCAAGATGGTAATAATGAATGTTTACCGATCGCATTTGCCATCGTAGAAGGCGAAACTTTGGAAGCATGGGATTATTTTCTCGTTAATATTCGTGCTCATGTGACTACGATGTCAAACATATGTTTGATATCCGATCGGCATCGAAGCATAATATCTGCTGTGGAAAATAACCCTACTTGGCAGCCGCCAAATGCGTATCACGTATTCTGTATTCGTCATATTGCAAGCAACTTCAATCAAAAGTTTCGAAATGAAGATTTGAAGCGGATGTTAAAGAATTTAGGTATACTCATTGACTGAATGCATAATTATTTCTTTCCATTATGACTGTCAATTTATGTTTAATTCGTTCATGTCCAATTTGTGCAGGTTATACTCCAGCAATGGTTGATTTTGAAAGGAATCTTGCGAGTTTCCGTGAAAGTAGTCCTCAAATTGCTGAGTGGAATGATGCGATTCCTAAGGAAAAGTGGTCGCGTGCCTACGATATTGAAGGACGGAGGTACGGTCATATGACAACAAATTTGGCTGAATCTGTCAATAGGGTTTTGAAGGGGGCCAGAAATATGCCTATAACAACATTGGTTAAGCATACATATAGCAGATTGGTTGCATATTTTGTTGAGAGAGGAACAAATGCTCTTGCACAACTTCAATCAGCTCATCGTCACTCCAAACATGTTGTTGAATTGGTCAAGAAGAACCAGGTAGATGCAACAGGCCACCACGTTCGTGCATACAATGTTGAACATACTGTATTCGAGGTTGACGCAGGTTGGGAGCGTTCATATTCTGTCAACCTCCCACAGAGATACTGTCAGTGTGGAAAGTTTAAGGCCTTTAAGTATCCGTGTAGTCACGCCGTTGCTGCTGCGTTAAGTGTTAGGCAGAGTGCGTTCACTTACGTTGACGACATCTTCTTGATAACTAACTTGGTCGAGGCTTATTCTTTTCCGTGGGAGCCAATTGGAAACGAGGAAGCAATACCTGAAATTAGTGGTGCAAAGATTATTCCTGATTCTACTATGTTGCGTGCAAAAGGTCTTCCAAAGTCAACTCGCATCCGCAACGAGATGGATGAAGTTGAGACAAGCCAGAGCCGTATCAGGTGTGGACTTTGCAAGGAACGCGGCCATAATCGTCGGCGATGTCCAAGTCGTGGGAGAAACGACTGATTTGCATATTATGTAATTATTTTGCTGTTGGTTATTTATTGCATGAATTGTAATGTCCGTTATGTTGGACTTTTTACTTTCCGTTTATGTATGTTTTTAATCTTGTATTATTAATTAGCTGATGCTGTTAGTTACCGTAATATAAATGCGCAAAGAACGATAACCAAAACATAAATAATAACGCATAGTGAATAGTCCAAATAATATAATAATATAGCGTCCACAAAATAACAACATGCTACACTCATATGACATATACAAAAGAACAAAATAATAACAATATGAAACAGTCCACAACATAGTGAATACTCAAAATGTCAATGAAACTAGGACCACGGTGGCCATGGCCTATGTCGTGCATCCCTATGTGGCAGTATACGTCTGTCCCAGACTGGGTCACCCTGATGCTCCTGTGGAGGTGGAGTGTGGAAGTCATCCATCGCCGCACGGATGAAATCATCTGATGGTCCTGCACTGCTGCCCGACACATCAAAAGGGGTGTGTCCCTGACTGTGAGAATCCGTGGCTAGAGTCTCCCCACTGTCATGGCTCTCTGCAATAAGGCCTACAAAGCGATACAACTCCATCGTGTCCTCTGCAGACCAAAAGGGGTCATCGGCATCAAGTCCCTGTGAATAGGGCTGGAAATCAGGCTGTGAGGATGTCGGATCCGCTCCTGCCATAGCCATCGGACTAGCCTGGAAAACTGGCTCCTGCCCGCTCATGTAAGGGTGCTCAGACGCCGCCTGACTAGGACCTGCCGCATACTGCGATCCGTGATGATAAATCGGCTGTGACCCGTAAGTAGGACCAAATGCTGGAGGTCTAAACCATCCCTGAGTCTCGACCACTGGTCTAGGTGCCATAATCGGGACAGGCTCAGCAGCAACTCTCTCACGTGTACGTCCTAATCCGCGTCCCTCCCGTCTATTACGAGGAACATCCACGATCAACTGAGGATCAGGCTGAGTCTGCACGGGGGGTGCCTCAGGTCCAGGCTCATCAACTCGTGAACTCTCACAAAACATCCCAATAATCCGGCCTATCTCCTCGTGGATATACTGTAGTCCAAATCGAGGAACCTCCTCCGCCGTTGTTGCATGATAAAGCATTTCAAGACCGTCAATCTGCATATTACGAAAAAATGTTAGAAATGTGAAACAAATGTAAAATAAGTACAAAACTCACCATGCGCCCTATCTTTGCTGCCCTTCGAGATATGTAGCGCTTTCCCCTCTCTCTGTACCACTCCATGTACGCATGATTAGGTGACATCAAACCATATAATGGAGGTGGCAGTACAATATGTTGAATCTTGGTATTCCATCGATCAATGTGAGCCCTGAGCTTACGTCTCCAGTTCTCTTCAACCTTCCCCCGTAGAGTATGATCATGTATTCCTCTCAATTTTCTAGATTTTTCCGGGATGGGTTGATTAAGACCGAACTGTCGCATGCACCTATCCAGTTGACATGCCTCAATTGTGTGGAAGTAGATAATAGGTGTGGGAGCAAGCCACAGATACTGCTGCTCTGGAGTCACGTCTAGCCACTCATATTCTATATATGGCTGCCACACCACCTACAAACAAAATGTGAAACAATATATAGAGTTACAAAAAAAAATAAACCCATAGACAAATAACATCACCGTAAGTATCTAACACCAAACCTCATCTCTACAGAGTGTGTCCAATGTTGCCCGATAATGGGTGACCTCATGAGGTTTAAACTTTTGTACAACATTAAACCTATCAATCAGAAACATTATCAACCATACATAATCGTCCAAAGTCAAGAAGTATACAGTTAGTATATACATTATTAACCATACATTATCGAAATCAAATGAAGTAAATAAATCATACTGGCATCCATAATGTGTGCCCGGCTCTGGATGAGGAGGAAGGGGTGGAGCAATGGGTGGGAATCGTATCTATGCCCAAATTTGAAGGAGAATATAGCAACCACCCATGTCGCTTTGACGGGCATCTGTCACTTCACACAAATTCTTGAACAAGTGTGTCAAAACTGCAGATCCCTAGCTGAATCGACCAATGTCCTCAAATCCTCCACCTAGCAACGGGACAAGCCGGCAACCAAAATTGCTACCTCCAGACTTGTCCGCCAGCAACCAAGTCCCCAACATCCGGGCAATGCGGGCTTTTGTGAAGTAGATCTCGGCAGCATGATTCCCCTCATGATCAGTCCACTGGGTATAATGCCGATCCAAGAATGAGATGCGGAGGTCGCCGGAATGATGGAACTCACCGGCCTCTGGAACATGTCCAAAAACAGCAGCACAAGCAGCGTGCCAATCCTCAGAGGTCGATCCGATGACAACAGTACCGTCGGTCGGCAAGCCCAAGATGCCTGCCACATCTTGTAAGGTGATCGTCATCTCACCTTGGGTCATGTGAAAGGTATGTGTCTCTGGTCTCCACCTCTCGACCAGAGCACTAATTAAAAATGTATCTATCTGTGATAAATTACGCAGTTATCACGTGTTAACGAATTTTATTAAATAATTACATAAATACAAAACGACATAAATAACATACCTGGATATGTTGCATCCTGGCAACATGTATGAAACCCGCCTGTCTGAGGTACTCTTGCACAACTTGTGGAATAGCACCGGTAGGTGGGCCCCCTTGTGGCTTCCCACGCCTAGTCTTAATCTTTCTTACATGCTCAGTATTCCACACTCGCTGTGAAATATGACCTTTTTGCGTCCTCTGACGAAGGACCTCCCACCTGTAGGGTCTAGGTATGATCCACATGCTGGGATCGGTGAGCTCTACATCCGAATCAGATCTCGAAGAAGATGATGACTCAGCCATTATCCTCAACTAACTACAAAGTTATGCACTCCCGCATTAATAACATCATACATACGAAATTTACAAAGTCTCTAACACTATTTATAAATCACTAATTAATATGCTAAACCCTAATACATAATTAAAAATCGGTAATAATAATAACTACGTAATAATAATATTACTATATAATTACAACATTCATAGCATGACACAAAATTTCTAAGTGACTATCCTAATGTTCCAAGTCTCTAATATACAATCAATCCTAACATGTATTACTAACTAGCACTGTAATTTAAATGTATACATATGAGGTATTATGACCTTACCTACGTTGGCAGAGCTTCGCTACGAACCGCGGTTAGAGAGAGGTTGGAGAGAGGTTAGAGAGGTAAATGAGTAAGGAGTGAAAAAAGAAAAGTGGGGTATATATAGGTTGCACATGAGACGCCCTCTTTGGGCGTCATGTGACGCCCAAAGATGGCGTCTCATTGTGCAACAGATATGTAATTTTTAACAAAACAACATTAAATGCGTAATTATTTTAATTAATTACATTATTTTAATTTTTTTGCCCATTGTTGCGTGGAAAGAGTTTATTGATTGTGCTTTTTTCGATACGCTTATGTAGATGGGGGCTGGGCTGCTACCTGCTACATCAGATGCAAGGATGAATTTGAGCCACAAGCTCTGTTTGTGGCATTGAAAAGTTTTTTTCCCCCTCTTTTTCCCGGTTCATTCTCTGTTGGGATCTTGCAAAATACATGTCCCATTTTTTTTTATTACAAATAGCAATTTCACGGTCTCTCTCAATCCAAGTCAGAACTTTTCCAACAGAGTATTAGTTGGAACAATACCAATCCTATTTCTTTTTACTAAGAGAAATTTGAACATGGACCAAAAATTATATATAAGGTTAGTTAAAAAAGTGTGTTATTTACGTTAATATTAAACGATTCATAAAAACATTTGTTATAAACTTGAACTTTTCAAAAGGATGACGGAGAGGATATATCCCTTGTAGAGTCAAGTATATTAACGTAACAATGACAAAAGAAATAGAAATATGAACGGGAGCTCTAGGTGGTCACCGTTGAAGTCTCAAACAAGCTAAGAATAAGGGGAGATGTGATTGGACTCGTTATGGCTGGTGAATGGAGATTTCTGCTGAGTTTCATCAAGGTGAGTAATTGAGAAGAGAATGAGTATAGTGTAGATAAAATTCCCCTAACATGGGAAGAGCAAGGAACTAGATCTCTCATGTGAAAAAATGGTCATGTAGTCATGTTATTTGATCACAATTACTCATTTAAAAATTATACACTTTCCTTTCTCTTAACTCATCATCAATGAGTAATTGTGATTAAATAACATGACTACTTTTTCACATGAGAAGATCCATTCTCCCGAAAAGTGATGTTATAACTTTTATAGCTTTGTCCATATGAGTTTGTGTGACTCCTCACGTGTAAGGGTCAAATATATATGAAAGTGAGGGATAAGGAAGAGTAGAAATGACCATTTGTCCTTAGGTGAATGGATGACCCATTTTTATTGGTCTGTTAAAATTCCTACATAATTGTTGGAATAGAAGATTCTATATGTTGTTATGATTTGCTGTGATATGTATAACTGAGTCCTAAAGATAAATAACTACACCTAATTACAATAGGACTCAGTTATACATATCCTAACAAACTACAGGTTACAACATATCACAGCAAATCATAACAACATATAGAATCTATCAATATATTGAGTCCGTAGAGTGTTGTTAGGATATGTATAACTGAGTCCTAAAGATAAATAACTACACCTAATTACAATAGGACTCAGTTATACATATCCTAACAAACTACAGGTTACAACATATCACAGCAAATCATAACAACATATAGAATCTTCTATTCCAACAATAATATTTTAGGAAAAGGATTCTATCATGTGAGATTTCACATGACTTGGTTACTTGAAATAAATGAGAAGATCCACTCTCAACATTTTATAAATTTGTGGAGCCCACTGAGGTGTGGGTTTAAATGGTTTGATTTATTGTGAAAAGAGTTCGTTGGAAATTTGACGGTTTCTTTAACTTCTGCGTCGGTTTTTGTTATCAGGATTATGCGTCTCATATAGAAATTTAGCTGAGTTAATTAATTGTTATTTATACTGACCA